CATGGCTTGTGCTGGTGTGATGATTTTGGTTTTTACAACAGGACATTCTTTAATGATTATAGCCTGGGGGAGCAGCCATGGCTTCTTCTCTCCTTGGTCCTCTCCTTTCTGTACTCCTGTACAAGTGGGTTTAACTCCTTGTCCGTGCCTTTGTTCTTCCTCCTCGTGCTCCTGTATGACCTGGCCATGGGTCACATCAGCCCCAAACCCTAGAAGGGGCTTTTCTTACCCCATCATTCTTTCTCCTCACATTCCCACGCTGTCACAGTGAGATGTGAAGAAGCAGCTGTTTTTGAGCTGTTTCAAATGAGCTCCCTGCCCACAGATGTCAAGCTGAGCAGGGAGGGCGAGCTCCAGCTATCTGGGAACAAAGACAGCAGGTACCAGGAGGACCAGAACAGGCACCCCACCTAATTTTTTTTTTTTTTTTGGCTGCTGAGTATGGGAGGATTAGACTCCATAGTGGACTCGTAAAAGGCTGCTGTAAGGCTGCTGTAAGTGCTGCTCTATGACAGGGAGGGCACCCACAGCTTGGGAAATCGCTGTGTCCATAAGTGTGTCCATAATTCCCAACACAGCTGAACTCATGAATGAGATCTCCATTTTCTAGGCACAAACCCACCAATTAAAATAGTAGGAGCCTGAACTGCCACAGGTTATCCTCTCCTCTGGAAGTGGTTCCTCGCTGAAACAAAAATTTCCCCAAGGGACAGATAAGGCTCTATGCCACACTTGCCAGTAACTTCCCCCCCCCCCCCCCCCGACTTTGTTCAAAGACAGTTTCTTTTACCTGCAAAAGCATTTTTCTGTTGCAGCTTCTTTGAAGCAAGGCATGTCCTAACAGCCGATGCTGGGGCAAGGCAGCAACCAACTATGGGCAGCATTGCCCTGGATCCCAGCCAGCTTCCCAGCCTCTGCCAGCCCACAGCACTCAGTGATTCACACCCTCCCCTCCATCTCAGTTTTGCTGTCCTGTCCCACTGTGGTGGGGCTGGGCACCACCTCTAGGTCATAATTTACCTGCAAGCTGAGGACTACCTAGAGGATGGGAGCAATTGCTTTGTTAGCTTCCCTGTGCCTGCCACACCACCAGGCACATGAAGGAGAATGATAGCTCCTTCCTAGTTCCACTTTCAGCTGGGGTGGCAAATCCCAGCGTTTCACCCTCCACAGCCTCCATCTGCTCAGCCAGACAGCCAGGCTGCAGGCCAGCTCTGGGGCAGAACCACACACACAGTTCCGAGACCCCACAAGCCCTCATGCTGGCTCCCAGCTCCGTGTCCATCCCTCACCCACACACCTGGAAGAGGGGTCCAAGGCACCAGGAAAGCAGGCAGCAGTGGAGACAGCTGAGGGTTAAATTCAGAAATATTTTCTATCAGGAAACATCAACTTTTTCCTCCAACTACAGGAAGCCTGGCTGGGTCTTGCCCCCATGCATTGGGACTTGCAGGAGAAGCTGGCGTGTCCCAGAAAATGCAGAGCCCCTGCCATGCTGGCATGGAAGATCCCAGGAGCTGTTCTGTGGTGGTTAGTGCCTCAAAGCCATAAAACCCCCCTCAATTCTCACCATTTCATGTGAGCTTAAGCAAAGGAATCACTCCTCCAACAGTCAACCACAGCACATACTGGGCTGCATGCTTGGTTGTTTTCTAATACCAAGAAGCCACACTTAAGAAAAAAAGTATATATTGCAGCCCAAGCCAGAACAGTTGCTATTTCAACCCAACCTGATCAAGTCCCACGGGCTGTTCATCCTGAGCTAGGCTCTCCCATGAAGGCGGCGGAATAAAGAGTAGGTCACATAGGCATGTTTGCTGGCAGGGGAATGCATGGACAAAACAAAGAAGGAAAAGGAGATAGGGTGGTTACTTTTCCATTTTCCTTGAGCAAAACAGTTTTGTTCAAGTGTTTTCTGTTTTTGGTAAGAACCAAAGTTAGATATTTTGGCTGAAGACCTTCCACTTGCATCAGCAGTGGCACCAGCTCCTTGTCCTGACTTGCTTTGAGCCTGATCTGCCTCTGCCAGCTGCCCTGTCCTGGCTGCCCCTGCCCCACCATGGCCCCCATCCCTTGCCAGACAGACATGATGGCCCCACGGAGCAGATCCTGGAGCCTCCACCCCACCGCTAAGGGCAATGTCTTCCCCTCCCAGTTTGCGGGATGGCTTTCAGCAATTTGGAAAGCCTGACCCCCAGGGCGCTCATCCCTCTGCCTTGCCCTGCCAGGTTTCCACTGCCCCCAGGCACGTGGTTTTTTTAATTGCTGCCTGCATTTCCTTATAATTCCTTTTGCTCCCTAAAATTCACTGCTGGGGACAGAGAGCTGCTTCCGTTTATCTCCACAAACATTTAATTTCACCTTTCACTTGCTCCCCCCTGCCTTGCTGCTTCTGCTCATTTGCCTTTTATGCAGACCTCTACCCAAACCTGCTCGACATCACTCCTTATGACTCAGTTCTTTCACTATTATTTCAGTTCTTCTAAAGTTAATGTCCTCCCAACACTGTTATCTTAGAGCACTTGCTACAGACTCAGGAAAACCAGGGCTGGGGCAAATCCAAGCCAGAAGGATGAAGGATCTCTGTAGTGAGGGAGGGAGAAGGCTTGCTTTGGGCAGCAGGATCCATCTCAAGGCCAGGTGCGGGCATTAGCAAGTGCTTCCTGATGCAGCTATGATAATAAACACCTCAGGACAGATATATACTTGTGGTAATTCAACAGGACAATTCAGTGAATGCATTTTCTACAGGAAAAAGCCTCTTCTTCCACCTCCCACCCTATACAAGCTGTCCAAGGTCACAGACAACTGCTTTCCAACCTGGCAGCACCTTCTTGGCAGGCCAACAGGGACAAAATAATCACTTCACCCCCTCACTCCACACTTGCCAGGGGAAGCCAGAGCTGTCATGCATGCAGGAGTCTGGAGGGCAGTCCACACACTATTCGGATGTCCTATTGCAACCAACCTGGCAATGCCCAAATGGGAAGGACCAGAGAAAAAAGCCTCATATGAAAGTCTTATACCACCAAGCCAGTGATTATGATTATGAGTAATGGTCCAGCTTCTGCTGATTGGTTTTGACCACAGTTTGTATTTCAAAGATCCTATTGAAGAGAAGTAAATAAGATAGAAGTTTTACCAGTAAATGAATGTGTAAGGGCAGACCCACGTCTGTCTCAGTATTCATTGTATTTCAGAGTGCAGAGGTAAGACTTAGCTGTCTTTTCTTGGATTGCAATTGCTGCTGTGTCCAATATTAGGAATATCTAACCATGTTAATTTGTCTAATTCAGGAATAATTCCCGTGAATTCCTGATCTTAGACAATATCCTGATTACTAGAAAATACTGGTGTAAACCAAATGCAAAATATAACAAGACCTTTCCTAGTGATCAGCCCAGGGACATTAATTGTTTCTTTAGTTTGCAGTAGTAGAACTTTAGTTTGTTTAGTAGTAGAACATGGACATCTGAAGGCTCAGCTCTGCTGTTCAATCACACAAAAGATACTCTGCAGCTGTATAAGATAGAATTTCTTCAGGGTTATTGCTCTTTTTAGTTTACTTTATTAAGATAATGAGATCTGTGTAATAACAGTCCTTATATGTGCATATTTCAAACAGCTTGTGGCAAACTTTTGATTTTTTCAAGTGATTGATACCACATTTAAAATAAAATATAAAAATAAAAATGTAAAAATATATAAAACCAAAAAAGGCAGAGAACTCAGAGATATTATTCCTGTGTGTTCTATAAAGGCAGTTGGCTGGGAAGACAGATTGAACTAATGTTTCTGCAGAAGGAAGTAAAATGAGAAAGAAAGCAGACTGGCCTGAGTGGTTACTAGACATCAGAAAAACCATCTGGGAGAAGGTGATTGCAAATTCTTTAGACACAAACATATTTAATTCATAAAGCATCTGCTTTACTAACAGACGAATTATGACTGAAAATCAGGACCTCTAATGTCAAATAGCTGACAAAATTTTATTAAAGACTTTATGAAGCTTTTTTCAGGAAAGCAAATACATATTTTTAAATTTCTGTTAACAGTAGAACATGTGCCCAGTCTTTCAGGTTAATTCAGTTAAAAATCCAGGCAGCCAGAAGACACACATCAAATCAAAATCATATTTCATTAGTTTCAATGCTCACCAAACTTGTTTTTCTTATAAATTGAGTTGATTTAATTCACCCAATTAGAAAACCCAATTTTAGAAAGGATTTCATCTTCTGAAACCTTTGTAATTATAAGTGTTTTTTATTTCAATCACCTGTCACATCTTGATGGCTATGGTGATCATTCAGAAGGTGTGGAGGATTACAGAGCACCTAAGAATGATTTCTGAAGGATACTGAAAGGTCTGTCTTCTTCTTTCCTTCTCTACTATTGTAAAGAGGTATACATCCTCAAGTCATTGTAGGAAATAGGGACGAAAATAGGTATTTGGTATAAAAGGTTTCTCTCTTCTGGCACAAATGACCAGAAATGTGGAAGGAACCTGATTTCATTTATTCTGTAAAGACTAGTGATTTTCCTTTCATTTTGAAATACAGAAATTTGAAGTAGCAAACCCAGCAGCGAACAAAATAGCAAACAGATGAACCATCAGATGAAGAAAATTATAGTCTGTCCTCCTTAATGTTCCAGTTCCCTCATCTCCCTCTCCTTTACAGATACTGAATATGACAGATGATCCTTAGGGTCGATCTGGCGAATCTGCCTAGAAAATTCTGACTACTATACCTTGGTAGAGGCTCTAAAGTGAAGACTTTTGAGAGAGCTGAACACGCAATGAAGTGTCTTATTTATTAAAATAAATGAGAAAATTATTAGAAATGTGTGCCCCTTCAAACATGTTATTGCTGGTAATTAAATATATATATATATATATTAGGCTTTATGTATCTGATAGATAAATAACTTGTCAAAACAGCAATGGCATATATTGATCATAATAGATATAATCGTATTTATAATGCTTGTACTTTGTACTTCACAGGAAACAGCCATGTCTTATTGCTTTTATGGATTTATAGAAAATTGAGATCATACAACATACTCAAAATGTATGTTCCTTGCAGGCTTAAGCATTTTATTACTTGCATTTACTATGTCATTACTATACCTTTGCTGACACCTCTCCATGTGCAAACCACTGTCAACCGGTGTGTATGACCTCAAGATTTTTCCCCCATTTGGTGGTGTACGCACCACTCACCCCAGCCCTGGTTACACTGTGACCTGAGAAATGTTCATTAGGCCTTGGCCTTGATAAACTGCACCTGGGCTATGTCCCTCTGAAGATTATCAGAAACGTTGTCTGTTCCCAGGAACTAGTGCTGTCTAATGAGCTCCTGTTTTTTAATGAACAGACTTGAAAACTTATTTTTCTTCCCTCAATAACAACCCAAATGGAATAATATTTTTATTACCAAATTTTCAAAGAAAGTTACTGATCTGAATTGCAGCCAGGATGGAAAATTACTATGACTAAAGCCAACTCTCTTGCAGCTCTATAAACAGCGATCCAAACTGGGACCCCTTGAGCTCTCCCGGGCAGCAGCAAGCTGTGACCAGCAATGTCCCTCTGAGTGGGACACCTCTCAGAGCCAGAGAACTCTCAAGTTTGCTATACTTGGATGATCACTGAACAATGACAGCAGATCCTGGACTGATACCCTGACTCCTCAAGACTCAACCCTTCGCCTGTTGAAAAGATGCAAAGGCATCTAAGTACTTCACTGAATCCGAGGACAATTTTTCAAGTGTATACCTTGTACAGGCTCTTTATGTCTGTGTGCATGCAAGCATGAGTATGCCATAGCAAATGTACCAGGAATGTTGCTCCCCTGGATTCTTAAGTATTTTAGTTTTGTAGTAAGTTAGGCCTGTAAGTGAGTTACTGTTATGCTATAGTAAATTCTATATGAATCCTTTGCCAAGTTGTTTATCTTAAGTGCAGTTAAGGTTAAGTGCTTTTGGACCTTTAGGTCCAAAACTGTTCGTCAAGTCAGGGCTCAGTTTAGCACAAGAGTCTACTCTGAACCTTGTGACCCAACAGGAGGGTCTTCCATATTCCTTTTTTTCCTTGCCCTTTCCTATTCTTTTCTTCCTTACCCATTCCTATCCTTTTCTTCCCTGACCTACCCCCCTGCCCTATCCCTCAGCCTCCACATAGATGGTTTTGGGTTTACTTTGGTTTAGATTGATTTATTTTGGATTTTTGGTTTGCTTTTGTCTGTGTACTTAAACCATCTAGTAAGTAGTAGAGTGAACCTTGCCTATGAGCTTTGTTGTGCTTTTGCTTTTATATTAAACCTGTTTTTGCTGATACTGTTGCCAGTGATTCCTTAAGCAACCTTAAAACACTCCTTTGCAGCACTGCTCTCTTATTTCTAAACCAAAAGTACTGTAGCAATAACCCCAAAGCTGCGAAAAAAACCCAAAGCAACAGAAAAGAATAGATGTCCTGTAATCCTTGAGAGGATTGATCAATATGGAAAACAGAGGTATCCATATTACAATAGACATATCCATACATTGTGTGGAAAGACCAAAGAGGCAGGTGTAAGAGAATAGCAGTTGATTCTACATTTCTGTAATGTCATTGCCAACGAGATTGAAGTTAACGCCAGCTCACTGAAGCCAGTAAAATTTGCTGATATTGGTAGGTGAAAAATACTTATAGAAGTTTCAACCTAAAAAAGTCTTCAAAGTTATTAAATTTGTAGTTCCTGTTGTTATGTAAATAAGCCTAGACCTAGTATTCATATTTTTGCTATGTGAAGTTCAGCATGTTCCTAAAGACAGGTTAATCAGCCTGCAAAATGTATTACCTGTCAAAAAAAGTGTTCTCTAATCTGAAGCACCTCTCCTTGTATTGGAGTATTTTACTAGTGACATTGACGTAGCTTTAAACTCTTGTTGCACTTCATAACACTCACAGTCAGTGTAGTACCTTAAAGAAAGCTTTGAACACAGTCATATACCTAACATAGTATTAAAAGAACCAACTAAAAATCTTTGAAAATTATGAAGCTCATTTTCTTACTGAAAGATAAAATTTTGAAAAGTTCAGAAAGATTGTTTTGGGGGGGGAAATTATAATTAAATCAAAATATGCCTATTTGTATACATCCACATTTAACCCCTATGTTTCAATAAAATTATGTAATTAATTCACTGAACACATTTAATGCCAGGGTAGTTTCTTTCGTGGATTATACTGTCATTGAAGAATGAGATACAAGTCAGTGGTGAAAAGGATTAGCTTGTCATCTCTAAAGTTCTTAAAGGCAGTGTTTGTTCATGCATAAAGGTAGATGTAAATGACTTGTGAAGAGTTAATGCATGATTAGTAATTGTTATCAACATGCTACAGGCATGAACTTATGAATAACTGTGCCATGGCTATATCTATACAAATTGATAAAGAATATATATTTACTTTGAAAAGAACCAGGAAGACAGCTATTGAGATGTCATTCAACAACACGTTCTATACTTTCTGCAACATAAACACTTCCTAAAGGCCCTTACTGCATGCAAAGTGCTATACAGGATTAAGTACCCGTCTTTATTTCCCCTACTTACATAATAAAAAGAAGAGACAGATGCCTTGTTGGGCAAGTCAAGGCAATTCACTTTAATAAGAGTTTTAAGTATGATTCAAGTATTCCTCCTGGCTGACTGTTTTGGAAAGATACCTAGACGTTCCAGAGGACGAAAGTGATGACAGCCTGCAATATCCCATTCAAATTTCTTTTTTGCCCACCATAGCATTTGTATTCTGCCTAAATCACACTGCTGATGTGCTTTACTGTAGTAGTTGCTCTTTACTTAAATTTTTCTTGATTTGCACTAAGTCTGAACAGCTGTCAGCTACCTGCTAGACATATGGTGCCAAAGACCTGCGGGGCAAATTTCTTACAACCCACAAGATGCTCAGTTAGAGTCTCTGGAACACTTTTAGCACACTGTCATAGTATTATAATGACTTGTTCCTATTCCAGGCCCCAATTCCATGGACATGAACCTCAAAATTCATTGTGTACCTGCTGCATAAAGAAAACAGATCCTTTCTGCCTTTCAGACAGCTATTTCAGCAGAATCTCAGTCTAAGGGCTTAGTTTGGTTCTTAGTCTAAAAAATTTATATTCTCCATATTTGTGCTGATATATATAAGTCTGAACTTTAGAATCTATTTCCTCATCTTGATTTAGCAAATCAGAAAAGGGACACTATCTTAATAAATGAGAGAATGCCTGGGTTTTCACACCAGTGTGAAGGATCCATGCATGTTAAAGGATCTTCCTTAGGAGATCCCAAAAGGCACTACTAAAATTACCCTGAATTTAGAGTTCTGCTACTTTTATTTCAGAAAACCTAAAGAACCAGTCATGCCTGACTGCTGACTGTTTGAGTAAGGAGTGAAATGAGGACTGTAAAATGTAAAAGAACCATTATCTACACAGCAGTGGAAGTCCTGGAGAATGAATGAACTCAGCAAGAAAAACAGGTGCCCAAGGCACCAACGCAGGTATGTGACACACTATTTAAGGAGATATTTCTCAAGAATAGGAATGTTGAACAAAATTAGGGGTTGGAGTAGTAACTGTTACATGAACCCATACTTCTCAGAGTCTTGAATACAAATGAGCATGCAAAAAAGGCCATGTCCTCTTACCTTGAAAAACACACTTCAGAGTAATTGTAATTATATACTTGGGGCCTAGTTATTGCACTACATGGTTTCTCAGAAGTTATAAGAGCAATTAATAATTTCCAAAATAGCAACTTCCAAAAATATGCTACCCAGAAATCCCTGTAGAAATTCCATTCATCCTATAATGACAGCTTGTTATGGAAACAAGTATTCTACACATTATGCCTGAAATGTACAGGGTAAATTACATACCTTACATCAACATAAAAAATAAATCTGGCACTGAAAGTTCAAGAAAATGGGCTGAAAGCTCTTGCGCTGCTAGTTTATTTTTTTTAATGTCTAACGTAAACAGAGACGCCAGAGATTGTAGGATTTGTTGTCATATGGTATTGAAGAACATACTGAACTTTTAATGCATCTTTTTTTCTCTCCTCTAAGACATTACCCTTTCTGTCTTGAACTAGGAGAGACTCATACATGTTCATGGATCTGACATCAGTGTTGCCAGAGAGAACTGCGTTTGTGCTGGAAAATATACATTCTCATTTTCAGATTACATCTGATTATTGTTACATTTTTTCCCTTTACATCAGTTAACTACGGTATCAGCTCAGGCCAGTCAGAAGAGCCATTGCCTTTAGTGGAATTATTCACATCATTAAGTGCGTTTTGAAACGCTTTTTTTGATTAAGGATCTGTATTTTATGTTAGTGCTTATCTTGAATGTAGTAGTTAAAATCATAGATCCTGCAGTGACTCTAAATGACAGACTCAACGGAAATATTCAATTTTGAACACCTGAAAGGCTAGGACTGGGATTTGCCTGTCCAGACAGATATATTGTGTCAAAGTACCATTCGGTTATTCTGTATGCAGTATGAATTCAGTAGTGCTCATATGAAGGTCATGCAGTCATTAAATATTTGATGAAGATTATCAAATGACTTCATAAAAGCAGCCATGTTACTTCAGACCACTGAACCCCACAGCACAACATTCTCTGTACCAGTGGCCACAGACAGGTGCCTAGGGAAGAGTACGAGCAGGACCAGCAGATGTTACACTTTACCCAAATACCTTTCCAAACTCCAATCATTTTCAACTCAGGGGTTTTCTTAATATTGTCGTGAAAGTACATAGACCTTAGTATATTAGAACAATGCATATATCAGGGGCACTGCTGCCCTGCCACTCCAAGGTTAGAAAAAGAATACAGGGTAGCTTGGGTGCACAGGGGAACTGTCAGACTGCAGAGAAATAGTCTGAGACTGGCTATTGCAGATGTCCAGTCCAGCATGATGGGTCTGCTCCAAAAACCAAATTCCTGTAAGATAGAAAAACTGGGTAAATAGAAGCCAGAAATCCCAGACTCTTTATGTCATTGTTTTGTTTTTACTCACACGCAGTACATGTGCATAAGTATTTGCATCAGATTTTCTATTTTTGCCCATTTTTCTTGTTTTATAACCCAAAAACCACTCAGACTCACAAGTAGAAGGGATTTTCAATTCTCATCCTGATCCTTGCCTGCTTCCCCTGTGGTCTGCCCACTAACAGTTTGTGAAGAAAGATCTTAGGTTAGCGTGCCAGTGTCTGGGTCCAAACATATGGGCTTCCAGTGAAGACAGACCAGACAGTGACTATTCTGGTTTCCAGTCCAGTGACTAGGAGAATGTGACTGTGAAGCTGCCCTAAGCATCTCTCAGAGAGGAGCCTCCAGAAGCTGTTTTCCATCTCATTAGAGTCCCTTGCTGCTGGAGGTGCAGCTAACTAGCAAAAGGCCACAGAGAATACTGAGACTACACTTACAAAAGACCTGGTCAATCTCTTTGTGACTGGTATGTGAACCAGAAGCTGAAACCAAGTTATGGTATCATATACCAGCATAACAAAGCAGCAAAGATGTCAGCAAAGTAAACAGTGACATTAGGGACAGCCACCATAGCCATTATATCTGGTACAGCAATAATAGCAGAAGTGTATCTCTGATGGGTTTTACAGCATTTAAAAGTTCCATCAACTTTCCCATAATATGCAGGGAAGCCTCTTTTCTGGTGTCTTGTCTGGTCTAGCTCCTTACAGTCAGTGAGAATCTGGAGCCTCTGAATCACTGACATTATTTACTGGCCACTTAATGGCCTAGATGCTGAGGGTGATGTTTTCTGATGGAAAAGTGATAGCATAAATAAAATGCGTTGGAGGAAACTGCTCCCAAAATCACACAAGGAATTAATACTATCAGTGTTGCAGTTATACTCCTCAGCTATGAAATTCAGGAAGGAGAGATGACAGGACACATTTTGCTGCCATTCAGCCTCCTCTCGAATGTTTTGCCATGCTGCAGTGGCATGCTGCAGTGTGAGACAAACACAGCAGCTTGTTTCTAGCCTGTACATCTACAGATCTCAGGCACACATCCCTAGCTAGACTCCAGCCTGACCTCAGATTGGTTGGACCTTGTCTACTATACAAGCTGCCCTTTCTTTACTCTCTGCTTTAGCCACTATGGTCTCACTATATTCCTCACTCCATTCCTATTATGGAGTTTCCCAGTCCAGCCTCTCAACACCAGCTCTAATCTAATCTTAATGACTACTGTCAACCTATCCAATCCCACTCTCTGAGTCTTGCATGAGGGCCTGGACTCTAACACAGAGCATGTG